TTCGAATGTTCTTTATGTGCCAGAATTGAAGACAAATTTGCTGAGTATTGGTCAATTACAAGAGAGAGGCTATGAAATTGTCATAAAAAATGGAGTATGCCGAATTCATGACAATAATCTGGGCTTAATTGCTCAAGCTACAATGACCCAAACAGGATGTTTCCTCTCCATCTCAAAACTCCTGGTCAGACATGCTTTTCAGCAAGATTAAACGATGTGGCTTGGCTATGGCATTTTCGCTATGGTCACTTGAATTTTGGAGGCTTAAAGACACTTCAGCAGAGAGCCATGGTCACTGGGCTTCCAGAGTTTAATAGTCCTTCTGATGTTTGTGAAGAATGTGTGGTTAGCAAATAGCATCGAAATCCTTTCCCAAGAGAAAAATCATTGAGAGCCAGGAAGCCACTAGAAGTTGTGCACTCTGACATTTGTGGGCCAATAAATCCTGCATCAAATGGAGGGAAGAGGTATTTCATAACCTTTATTGATGATTTCAGTCTAAAAATTTGGGTCTATTTTTTGCAGCATAAATCTGAAGCTTTTGTAGCTTTTAAAAGCTATAAAGTGCTTGTTGAGAAAGAAGTTGGCAGTCCAATCAAAGTTCTTCGCACTGATCGTGGAGGAGAATATTGCTCAGATGAATTTGCAAAATTTTGTGACAATCAGGGGATTAAGAGGCAAATCACAACAGCTTATACACCTCAACAAAATGGTGTTTGTGAGAGGAAGAATCGCACTATTTTGGACATGGTGCGGAGTCTTTTGGCAAGGAGTTGCATTCCAAAAAATTTCTGGCCAGAGGCAGTCAACTGGAGCATCCATATTTTGAATAGAAGTCCCACACTTACTGTTAAGGACATGACACCAGAGGAAGCTTGGAGTGGACGCAAACCAACAGTGGATCATCTTAGAATTTTTGGGTGTGTTGCTTAAGCCCATGTTCCAGATCAGAAGAGGAAAAAGCTGGACAACAAGGGAGAAAAGTGCATCTTTCTTGGTGTTGGTAATCAATCAAAAACCTATAAGCTTTATAATCCAAGCACCAAGAAAATTGTAATCAGCAGGGATGTTGTTTTTGATGAAGAACAGATTTGGCCAGGGAGTGAAAATGGTACCACTAAGTGTATTTCTGTAGATTTTGATGGTGGTGATGATGAAGAAAAACAACAATCAATTGAGAATGTGCAGCAACAACTTGATATGGATGAGCAACAACCAGCATCCACTTCAAATGCTCCAGAAGATGCTCAATCTCCAGCAGCAGCCAAAGAGGACGAACAGAGGTCACAAAGGGTTAGAAAGAGACCAGCATGGATGACTGATTATGAGGTAACTGGAATAGACCATTCTGAGGACACACTTACTCATTTTGCTCTATTTTCCGACTGTGATCCTACAGTTTTTGAAGAGGCTGCCACAGAATCCAAATGGTAGAAGGCAATGGATGAAGAAATTGCAGCCATTGAAAGAAACAATACTTGGGAGTTAATTGAACTTCCAAAAGGGAAGAAGGCTATTGGAGTAAAATGGGTCTATAAGACAAAGTTGAAGGAGAATGGTGAGATTGACAAATTCAAAGCCCGCCTAGTTGCCAAAGGTTATAAGCAAGAATTTGGTATCGATTATAAAGAAGTTTATGCACTGGTTGCAAGGCATGATACAATTCGCTTGGTAATTGCTTTGGCAGCACAGAATTCATGGCCACTCTATCAACTGGACGTAAAATCAGCCTTCTTGCATGGAGACTTGGATGAGGAGGTATTTATTCATCAACCCCCTGGTTATGTTAAGGCTGGAAATGAGCATAAAGTCTATAAATTAAAAAGGGCATTATATGGACTAAAACAAGCCCCACGGGCTTGGTATAGTCGTATTGAATCTTATTTTCTGAAGGAAGGTTTTGAAAAATGTCCTTATGAACATACACTTTTCATAAAATCAGAAGATGGGAAGATGCTTATTGTCTGCTTGTATGTAGATGACTTAATCTACACTGGAAATGATATGGTTATGTTTGATAAATTCAAGAAGTCTATGATGGCTGAATTTGAGATGTCAGATCTTGGATTGATGCATTATTATCTTGGCATAGAGGTGAATCAATCTGCTGCAGGTATTTTTATTTCTCAGAAGAAGTATGTTCAGGACATCTTAGACAGGTTTCGAATGAAGAATTGTAATCCTGTAAGCACATCAATTGAACCAGGTTTGAAGCTTGTCAAGAATCCTGGGGGAAAGGGAATTAACAACACTTTGTACAAACAAATTGTGGGAAGCTCGATGTATTTGACTGCAACAAGCCCAGATATCATGCATGCTGTAAGTCTTATCAGTAGATACATTGATTGTCCAAAAGAAGTTCATCTCTTGGCAGCAAAAAGAATTCTCAAGTACTTACAAGGTACAGCTGAGTATGGTTTATTCTATAAAAATGGAGAAAAGTCAGAGTTGTTCGGGTTCACAGATAGTGATTTTGCAAGAGATCTTGATGATAGAAAGAGTACATCTGGTTATGTTTTCATCATGGGAACAGCAGCAATTTCATGGACATCTAGGAAGCAATCAATTGTGACTCTTTCAACTACTGAAGCTGAATTTGTTGCAGCAACAACATGTGCTTGTCAAGCAATTTGGTTGAGGAAAGTTCTTGAAGAATTGCAGGTCAAACAAGAAGGTCCTATGCTTATTTTTTGTGACAATAGTTCAACAATCAAACTTTCAAAGAATCTTGTTTTGCACGGAAGGTGTAAGCATATGGATGTGAGATTTCATTTTTTGAGGGATCTCACAAATGAAGGAGTCATTGATTTGGTCTACTATAGGACTGAAGATCAAATAGCAGACATTTTTACAAAGCCTCTCAAGTTATCAGCTTTTAGGAGACAAAGGGAGCTGCTAGGTGTTTGTATTTTTTACAACAATTAAACTGATCATTTGCTAATGTTCAGTTTAGGGGAGAGTTTGTTGGATAAGTCTTTAGATTGTTCCTGGTATTTAGTCATTTTCTTGTACGTGTCTTTGTGTTTCCTAGTTATTAGGAAGTAGTTTAACGTGTTCAGCATAGTGGTTGCTATTTTATAGCTTTGTTGGTTGGCACCTT